ATTTTAATTCAGTGATAAGATATTTAATTTATACATATAAAATTTTATAAGGTTAGTCAAATTAAATTAAACTATTGCAAATGCTATAATTTTAGGATTAAGTTGAAGTCATAATGGATTAAAATTACGAAAACCTATACGCAAAACTAGACTAACGACTCATGATTTTTTCATTCGCACCATCAATTACTGAAATTCCTGAAATAAGCTGAAATTATTGAACGACATAATATGATTCATATTTAGTAGGAATTTTGAGAATTTTCAGCATGCAGTTATTTCGACTTGTGTTATTCTATAATTCCCCTTCACTTTCCCGTATTATTTTTCTTTACCCATTTATCCCATTCTTAGTCACATTCTTTTCGTGTCTTCTATCACCATTATTACTGTTATTAATGCAAGCACATGGCGCTTGTTGCCCTACTTGGTTGCTTTAAATAAATAAGTTACTTTATTGACAAATTACTTTAATTATTTATCTGCTTAATTTTTCTTCTTCTGGCAGCATTTTTGAATGGACAGATTCCACGATCTATTAGCGTGAAATTCCTTCGCCAGAGTTTCTGGTTTGTGGTTGAGTTGAGATCCCTTCATTTCATTTCTTTTGTTCCCTCATTTAATGGCAGATTTGTCTCTTCAAAGGACAAAAATCTAATCTGTGATCGCTTAACCTTAATGAAAACATAATACCACTCAACTGACCTGTCATTCTGATTATGAGTGATAAAATTCTATGTCTGACAAGATTTTTTTTCTTTCTGAACTTTCTGATTTTTTTTGTTCCCATTATTTGAAAATGGCTAAACTAAATATCTAAATCGGGGGACTAAATTCTATTGCATTTTGCTATACTCTGGAGCATCAAGATTTGGATAAAAGTCCGACTTTTTATCTTAAAATCTGAGTTTCTATATATTCCATGGCAACAATTTTCTACGCACTTGGGCTAAATGAATGGACTAACTAGAACCAAAAGTTGTCCACTCCTTTTCCAGTGTCTTATTTTTTTGAATTTTTAAGATTATGGGATTCTTTGTCGTTTAGTTTCTACACTGAGTTTTTTTTTCATTGTTGGGAGAAAGAAATGTATATATATACAAAATAAAAATAAAAAGAATATAAGTAAAATGGAAGTTAAAGAAATATTCATTGGTTGTTACAAACTAATGAATTTTATAATTTTTCTTATTTAATTTCACAAAATATTCAAAAAAAAGTCCATTTACTCACTATCAAATTCGTTTAAAATCGTAATATATTTTCCTTGAAAAATAAATTTTTTTTGTTTATTAACGAGAAAACTTTAAATTTTTATAATTCATTATCATTTATCAAATAAAATGCAGTTCAGCAAATTCGGAATTCAATTCTTTTAATTCAATCATTGTTGTTATTCTTTCTTTATTTTTGAAGAGGTCTTTATCAGCTATTTTCATTTTACCAATTTCATTTAACTTAACTCATTGCATAGAATACTTTGTTTGTTACTAGTTGATTAGATCGAGTGGCGTATTATCGAACTCCAATCAGTTCGAGCATCACCGCTTTGCTCCTGTCTCTTGATTATTGTTAACTTTAGCAAATTTTGTTGGCAATTTGCGAATCAAATAAGTAAGTATGGCGTTCACTATTTCTGGTTAAGCTAGCTACGCTGGCTGTTAGAAATATTTGTTAAGGACTAAAAATGCTGATCGCAGCGCTAAGCGGATTTATTAATGAAGAAGAAGAAATCGACTACGAAGAAGAAATCGGCTCCTTACCTCCCAACATCACTGCCTGAATCACTTCCCATTCTATCGTGTCCTCGAAACATGCGAAAAAGAAAGAATTCATGTGAATGAATTTTAACTTACACCGACAAAATAGCGGAATCATAAAAATAGCGAAATGTCTCTTCAAAAATGTACTAAATTCACCAAATTATGTCCAATAAATTCAAAAAAAATACGATTAATTGACTAGGAAATTTTAATTTAGAAAAAATTATTTTCAAATATTTGAAAATTCATTTTGTTAATTCGACCTTCGTTAATTGCAAGAAAGCCATTTTCATTTTCAATTTTTGAAATTTTTTTCCAAAATATGCGAATTAAATATTATTTAAGCCGCCTTTTGCCAATCGTTTTATTTAATTTCGAAAATTATTTTGGCAATTTTTAAAATTTTTTTAATATTTCGAAAAATTGTTTTTTCAATACATTGGAAGCGTTATTTTTGAAAAAATTTTAAAGAGTTTTGATATTCAATAAAATAAAATGAAAATGAAAAAAATGTAAAAAATATTTTTATAATATAATAAAAATTGGTCGATTTGAACAAAAAAAATAAATCAGCTGACTGAGCATATTTCGATTGAAATGAGCAATACTCACGCGATTTCGCCATTATTATTTTTATTTATTTTTTCGAATTAAATTTTATTTTTATCAATTTTTGTTGCTTTTGCATTAATTATTATTAATTATTAATGTTAGGCTATTCACTATTAGTCGAATGTAGTCGAATTCTAGTAGGCAGTCGCTTATGGATGTGCGTGCAAAGCTCTCCAGCACTTGGCCGAATTATGGGCTCGAAATGATAGTCTAACCAATCGGCTACTCTTCCTCGGGGAGGATTTGACTGAGAAATAGCTTTAGGGAAAGAGAGGAAAGAATTTTTAGATATAATCTTTAAATTTATTTTCTTTCTCTTATCGACATTCAGCTCTTTATCCATTCAATAACCTCTCAACCACTCAATAAGCGTATGCATGTCAACCATTCAATAAGCGTATGCATGTCAACCATTCAATAAGCGTATGCATGTCAACCATTCAATAAGCGTATGCATGTCAACCATTCAATAAGCATATGCATGTCAACCATTCAATAAGCGTATGCATGTCAATTAAGTTCATTACCAAACTTACTATCGTTGTGAGTTTAAGTGCTCGAATTTCGCTAGTAGGAAGAAGATTCGTATGTTTATTATTATATTAGATACCTTTCATTCATCGATCGGTTTCTTTTCGCTTCTGTATCGATTTATCGATTTTCGCAATGTTTATTGTTCTTTGCCATAAATATTTGTTAAAACGAAGGCCAAATTATCAATGATATTATCAGTTATATGAATTAAATAACATTCGAATATCAGTTCGTTTTGCCAGATAAATTCTCTTATAAAACGCTATTTAATTTAATTAACGAGAAGGGAAATCGATTCATTAAGAAATAAATAGGCCATTAAGAAAAAGATTCCTCGGACGATCCAAGGAGTCTCTAAAAGGCGGATTCTTTCGAGATCAGAGATTCAAAGCAACGGAGAAATTTATTCGTTTAATGAAATTATGGTTTTATTAATTAAACAAAGGAAAACAAGTGATTAGTGGTGCCATTTTTGCTGACACGGCTGTCTGTTAGCTGGCGCTTAGAAAATTTTTGCTAGGGAGCCATTCTCTAACAGGCTGGTACCATCGCCAGCACCACTCGCGTTCTTTATTTACTCGAATTAGGCTTGAAAATCCGAACCTTTGCATCTCAGCATTATTTGAATCCACTCTGCTACCTTATTTCTAATATTTTAGAATTAATGAAAGCAATTTTTTTTTAATTTTATTTTAGAAAAATATAAAAAATGATTTAAAGTTTAAAACGAAGAATTTAGTGATATGATATGGATGAAATTTATCAATTAATACAATTACAATACTTATAATAATGCAAAGGAGAAATGATTCATTTGGAAATTTGGTAATAAGAATGGCACATACTATCCCTTGGTCCCGTTTGGTACCACTGACCACTGATTACGGTGGATGAATGAAATTCTTTCGCCAGAAAGTCAGAGAGAGGAGAGAGAGATCAGAAGTTTCGTTTATTTTTCATTATCAGTGGAGAGAGAATGGTTGAGTGATTATTGCTGAGATCGTCTCGGTGATCAGATTCGCACCGCTAACTCCGATGGGAGGAAAAGTCCGAGCTCGCAACAGATAATTGCCTAAACAGTTGGTAAAATCGGTTGTTTGCTTACTTCATAAATAAAATAAATTAAAATATTTTTGTTGTCTTTATTGAATGAAGGAAATTTGCACATTTTGTCGAACTATTAACGTTTATTTATTTGTTTATTTATATTTTAATGTTCAGTTCGCCACGTTAATTTAATTGTGAAATGGAATGGCGTGGAATGTCGATTGACAAAAACCGAGCATTCTTCCTTATTATAATTTATTGCATTTGGTTATAATTAAATTGCAGTGAGTCTCTGCTCGAACTTTCACTGGATGTCCGCCTCTTCGATTTTGCGCAGTGGTTCCAAGCTTTTTTCGCCCGCCCGCACTTTCGCGGCACTGGGTGCTGAGCACTTTTCAATTTCACCTCCTCCCCAGCGCTCGGAAAAGTCCCCGTAGTAATTTAATTTAGTGATTTGCCTCATAACTTCTGTTAAACTGAACGAGCAAAATTAATATCTATTAGATCGCATTTTTTGGATTTTAAAGTTGTTAAAAGAAAGAATCTATGTTGTGAACGATAATTAATAATATTTATTTATTGTTATTCTGCGAATAATAACAGTAGCAATAATAAATAATTTATTAATAATAACAGTAATAATAAATGATGATATTAAATAATATAATAACAACAATAATATTTGCAATAAAATAATATTGAAAAAAAATTACAATAAATGTTTGCAAGAAACGTAATTACAGTATAGTGACCCTGGAAAAAGAAGCATGTTTAAGGTGGGAATTTAGCTTTTGGATATGCGTGTGGACAAATGGATTTTTTGAATGGAAAAAGTATTTCCTGCATTGTTTTCCAAATTTTTCCATGATTTTTCATGTACCGTTGCTTGATAATCTTTTTTCTAAAAATCAACATTTTCAGGAGTTTTTTCATTTTCAAGTGGAACATTTTGGTTGTTAGGAAGCATTTTGTGAAATACTTATTATAAATTATTGCTCATATATTCTATATTATATTTGCTTCCACTAAGGCAGTACAGATCGAATGCGCAGACTTTTCAGTCGATCGGTAAACGACCGATCGGCAAATGATGATCGTATATCAGGTAATTTGTGAATGAATCTCCAAGACTATAATATTTTTCTTTTCTTTTTGCCTATAACTGAATATTCCATAGAATGTAGTCGTCAGAATACATATTAAGGTAAAAAGTAATGGAGGTATAAGCCGTAAAGATATAGCTTTGCTTTCATTTGTTGCGCCGCTGATCCATGACTCGTCTCTTCTTTTGCGATTTCCTGGCAGAAATTCTCTGGCCCAGCAAGCCAGCAGAGCAAGCTGAACCAGAAATGCTAGGCGCTCTCCACTTTTTTGAATATCCAGTAAATATTCAAGAAAATTCTTCAGAGAAAGAGAATTTTTTTCAGAGAAAGAGAATTAGAGAATTTTTTTGTAAAGAAAATTCTGGTGGAAAGCGTGATAAAATTTCCATACTCTAGAAATAAGATATAATTTCAATTGTTTTATTGCATCATAAAACAATTTATGAAATTTTAGCGCCTCTAAATCAAGGAGAATACTATAATAATAATAGTAGTAACGAATCAAGTGACATCGAACAACAGGACTTGGATTTTCACTCGGGCGGTTCACAGTTACTTTCGAACAACTCTACTTCTAGGGTATGTTGTTGTTATAATTAAAACTTCTAATAACTCTCCATAATTTCTGGTTTGCTATAATGGTTGTTTTCTGGCAGAAAATCACTTGAGGCGATCGAAGTACACCTGGCTCGCCAGCAGCTCCAGGAATTAAAACTGTTAAAATTAAAACGTTTTCATGTTGTGGATTATACATATATACGAAATGTAATATAATATTGACAGATTTGCACCTAAATTAACAATAAATAAGAGTGTGCAAGTGGTGCTAACGACTCATTTATACTTCTGTCGCCAAGTGATTCCCTAGCAGAATTTAACTAGAAATTGTGAGCATTTTTGAAGAAAAGTTGTTTGATCTGCATAATCTGCATAATTGTTTAATCTACATAACCGTTTTTATCTTTTACCATAATTTTATTATCAAATTTACTGAATGTAAGGTTTGATTGAAATTGAAATTCCTTGTGATAAAAATTTTTCCATGATAATAATAATATTTTGCAAATTAATTCTAAAAAAATATTTTCATTCGGATTTTACTAAATGAATTTCAATTTTTTAAATTTTCATTTAAAATTTTAAATTGGGATTTTCGCATTTTGTTCGCATTAAATAAATATTCGAATTATATTATAGAAATAGTCGTGCATAGCCGTTTTTGTTTTTGCTATATCACATGTTTAAAATGTTCAAAAAAAATTCGAGGAAAATTAAATTTGTGAATTTCAGAAAATCAGAATTTTTATATTTTTTGAAAAAGTGGCATTCGCCATTCGTATACTTAAAGTCTTCCTTAACCTCCATAAAAATTACTCCTAAATTTTTCAGCGATTTTGCAAACTCGTTTATTTTTAGACAAAGGGTATATAAATCGATGTTTGCAAAAAGTCGATATGTGCATAAAAACTTACATAAAAATTGAGCAAAATGAGAGTTTGCCGTAAATTATAAGAAAATTTATGATTTTATATCGCATTTATTCCCTCTTCTTTTGTATAGATAAATTCTTTTAAAAAAATGTATTCTAAATATTAAATAATTTGAAATGGATGTGAGAATTTGTTATTGATTGCATTATTGGAATTTAATCTCTAGTTGAAGTGCTGTTAAATTTAGTTTCACTTGTGATCCGTCATTTAATATCACATAGGCTAACAGTTTTGCTAATCTTCCTTGTCTGATTTAAGTTTCGGAGAAAAGTTTGCTTTTGTCGTTAGCGAATATACTGCATAAATAAGGTTCTGCGGAGATCTGCCTTCAGATACGTCTCTACAGAAAGGAAGAATGTTACCAAAATCGTCTTCAGAGGCAGCGTTTTTCGGGGAAAAAGGCTGAGAAATTCGATCGATCTATTAGCATTATCGAATTTCTTGTAGAAATTTCATTGAAACAATATTTTAGCGACGTTTACCAAGAAATAAACGTGGAAAGCGACAAATGCGTGTTGCTGATAAAGCTGCATTAAGTCTTCGAACTAAACGCAATAATCACCTTATATCGTTGTCAGGTGCGCAGAGCCGACCGATAATAACTGCTCGGCAAAACCAGGTTTGTCCCTCCGATATTCTTTAATTAATTCGTTGGTTTTTTTCGTTTTTATTTTTTATATGGTTTTATTTTTGGATTTATTCAACTTTTTTTAAAATTAGCAGCCAATCTCCGTGAAATTTGATTTTTAATTTTTATTTTTTTAAAACTTTTTCATGGAAAATAATAAAATCCAAATGTTTGTCGAAAAAAATTATTAAATTTGTCAGAAAAAATCGGTTTGCCTTGGAAAATGAGTAAAAGCCGAGACCAAGGAAAGCAGGAAGTTATTTATTCTTTAAAAGGCAGTTCCATTATCCTTTTTTTTCTTACATAAGATGTTCCAATGTTTATAATTTCAAAAAAAATTTTTAATTCAATTTTTTCTATAACTGACTGTTTGAAATCGTGCATTGATCGATCCATCTTATCCTGTTGCTGGATTTTCAAATTAGCAAAATCTTCTTCTTTCCTTTTACTAGACGAATCTTCATGTTGGTTTTGCTTATTTTTGCTAAACAAATATGCCATAATTTTTTTGGAATTTTACATTGAACAGACTTTCGCTGTTGCATTTAGTTAACCTTTATTATGAACCAAATTACTCGCTGAGTTATTGTTTTTGGTCGTTTTTCTTGATTCTAAAATATATAAATATATAAATAAATATTCATAAATCCAGAGAATCAAAACCTTAACAAATTGCAGAGTAAATTAAACGTGCTACCCGCAGTATTGTCCTCTTTAGCGCCCCTTATATTTTTTAGTGCTCGTTCTATGTTACATTACTTTTACAGGTATTATGTCCCTTCATCTCTTCGTTTTCCTTAACATATCTAGTTCCTCTTATATTTCCTCATCAACTGTTCCTCTTTTAAGAGGTACTGTTCTTCAGAGTTTATGGTGAATATAACAAGGCATATTGATGGTTCTTGGAAAAGGAGTACAGCAAGACTTATAGGGAAAGGGAGAGAACTATAGGAGGATAATATTGATGGAGCATTACGGTTTTAAAGAATTATTAATAGGTTCCAAACAGGAGCGTGATATAATGGAATGTTGAGAGACTATAACGCAGTTGGAAAGTACTTAAAATGAAAAGATTTAAAGAAACATCACTAACAGCTTGTAGCAAAAGAGCAACGAAAAAATGAAATGAGATTTGTGAGAGTGGCAAAGCACTGTTCCAGGAGTTCCAGGAGATAATTGAAGTACAGGGATTTTAAGAAATTTTTCGAGATATAGCGAACGTCGCGCTCGTGCAATTCGTGGTTCGCTTTTTCGGAGAGGGCAATGGATTTTGAGATGGATTTTTGAATATGACAGGTTTTTACTTACAATGCAAGCCAATATGCTAGCGTCTTTATCAGATAACGTTTAAAGAAATCAACTTTCATGAGAAATCAACGAGTCAAACCGTGTCTAGCAGTCAAGTAAATAAATGAATTGCAAAAGCTGCAGATTCTAATACCTCATCGTCTCGTCTCGAGTTATCCTTCAGCTTCATCTTTATTTTCAGTATCGTTGTCGTTGTCTTTAGCTTTCGAATCAATTCAACCGAATATCCATTCAATTTCTCATAAAGAAAATCTCCCAAGGGATATTCCTCGCATCTTTTGCATAACCTTTTGACCTTTCATTTAGTTTGGCTTAACGATCCTTCTTTTTTTTAGCAAATTTTTCTTCAACCATTGAAATTTATCTTTTTTCTAATTTCACACTATTTTAAAACTTTTCTATTAAATTTTAAGGAGTAAAAAGAATTGTCTATATTTTTCTTTTTCTGCACTGTGCATTGAGGTGTAGTGATATACCCAGATTGTCGTGTTAAGAGAAAAGCCTTCGCTTGCTTACCCGGGCAGGAGTGAATCTGTCGTTAAAAAAATCCAGCTTCTGATGGCGCGTGCTTCAATTTTTCTCCCAAGGGATCATAGCCAGTGGAGCAAATCTAATCAGAAACGATGAGTGCTTATCACACCACTTGCTTAAAAATGGCTAAGTAAAATGAGTCATCGGAATTTAGGAAATTGTGTCCTCATATTTCATTTTTTAGTTTTTTGCAGTTAATTATTTTCAGGTAATTCATGGAATTTATTTAATTATAATCGTTCTTAATTGATTGGTCGACTTAAAAACCTGTAATGAAAAGAAGAAATCTAAAAGTTTAATGAACAGTAGAGTGGCCTTAAACGGATTTTTCGGGAAATGTCGTTTCCTTGAGCAAATTGAAATAATTTTAAAAAGTGAGGCAATTCGAAAAAATTTTAGAAAATTTCAACAGTTCCAGCATATATTTTCGAGAAAACAATATTTTTTTGAAATTTGAATCTATAAAAATTACAAAAATATTCAAAAATGTTAGTGTTTAAAAAATAAAAAGGTGGAATATTGCTGGTTTGCCTTTTAACTCCACTATGGTTAAAAATCTTGCGCCAGAGAGTCAGTTTGCGAAGTATAGGTGATGTCGCCAGCACCACCCGCGATTTTTAAATAACTCATTTACTCGTGTCAGAATTCGATTTGAGGTTATTGAGTTTTTCAAGAAAACTACTTTTAGATGAGCTTTTCGGAATTTTCATTAAAAAGAACATTCGATGTGAAATTTGCCTGGAAACGATTTATCATTTGGAAAAGGGCTTCTAAAAGAATTTTCTTGCTGCTTTCGAGGTCGAAAAACTTTTGATTGAAAAGCTGATTTCACGCTAAAATATTTCGAGTAGTCTGAAAATGGACTATTCACGAACTCTTTTTTCTCGGATCACCGATTTAAGATTATAAAATGTGGTTTCTATGTTAAAAATTCCTGTTGAAGTGATCGAAATTATAATATAATTAGAACTGCCGACTAAAGAACGTTTTTTATTACGTCAAAATTATTGTTTGATCGCTAGTCGGGGACGATGATTTCTTTTTAAATGTTTTTGAATGAACTTTCTTCTTCGCTCATTACCCTTACCCCCTCCCCCCGCCCCTCCTCCCCATGAACCAGGTTATTGTCTTCCTCTTCATCATATTTCCTTTTCCAACGAGTCCTCTTATTTTCAATTTTTTTGTTTCGAATTAATTTCGGTTTCACCACTTCATTTATTTCCATCTTTTTTACGAATTTCAACGTCATATTTTTTTTCGACTTGTTAAATTTTGATTTTGAATAAAATTTTTTCAAAAACAATCCTTATTTTTCGGTTTTATATGAATCAAAAATCAGTTTATTAGCAAATTTTACGCCTTTTCCCGATATTTTTAAATTTTCATAGTTTTTTAATTGTTGATTTATAGTTTGAAATTCACTTAATTCACTTTAGCAAACTATTAAATATTTTTCAATGAATCCTCATTGCAACCGGACAGAGTAACCAGATGGGTAGTGGCTGAGATTATCGTGTCGGAAGATAAGGGTTCGATCCCTGCATCTAGCAGGAATAAACTTAAAAAATTATGGGTGTTAGTGATCCACTAATTCTGTTGCCAAGTGGATCCTTGGCAAAAATTTCTAACTTAATAGCTCACGTTGTGAGTCTACAATAATAATAATGAACATTGATTTAGTTCTCTTTATTACAATGTTTTCTGATATGGTTTCTCTGTGAATTGCAATTGCAATTGCAATTGCAAATTTCCATATGACTATCTATGGTTTGGTTCGCTGACCTTAATAACCTATGAACTTTTTAATGAAGCTATCATTAAAAAGATCCGAGTGGTGTTAACCATCCATCTAAATTTTTATCGGTAAAAATATTTCGCTTAATTATCTAATTTTTTTTTTTTTGTTGCGCCAGTAAGACTGTTACAAAAGATTTTTATCAGATTTTTTAAATAGATAAATTTCATTTTTTTATATTTATGAGACGATTAGGCGATTTGCATTAAAGGAATATTATTGATATGATTATGATTAGAAAACGAATGAGTGGTCATTTAATGGTTAACATGATTCACTTGTTTTAAATTTTTTTTTGTAAATTTTGCTTGATGTAAATTCGATAAGAGATTCGAATGCCTGAATCTTCTTCAGTGAAGCTGAAAAGCTACCAGAGACCATGGTTCTACGCAGTATTTTACTAGCAGTGCACTATTCTGGACAAAGACTTTTCCTTTTTAGCCCTTAGTGCTGATGGCCACACCATTAGTCTTCACTTTCTGCCTTTTCTAATTCCTCTTTAAGATCTTGGTATTTCTCTGACTTCTCATATTTCCTTCTTCCTATCACTTGGTGTTGCTTTGTCTATCACAAGTGCTATTTCTGGTTCTTCCTTATTACTACTACAATGATTGATTTCCTAGTACTTGCTTTTCTGTCTAAATGAGGAAAACATGACCTTGTTATTCTCTACAATTTTCTAAGGAATTTCTCATCTGGTCTTGTGAGGATCCAAGCCATATACTGGGCAGATATTCCTATAGACAATGACACCTACTCGGTTCTGAATCTTATGTTTTGCCACTACAATTTCTGGGATTTTTTGCATCTTGAGTCGTGTTTGTCCTGTTGACTCCTTTGTTTGATCTATTGCTTCTGTGCTACTGTGATCAGTGTCTCAGTCCATATTGTCTTCTAGTCTAGATTTTTCCAAACACTAGTAGGATTTCAAAGTCAGCTATCTTAATTAATTGTTGATGGTATTTATGGAGAGTCTTACTCTGCCATGGACATTCTCTTCTTATACTTCTTATACTTACAATGTAAACGCTTCAGGCATTATCTCAGCAGCTTATCCTTTGGAACCTTCTTGTTGATATAATCCTGAATGCTTCGAGTCCGCCTAGCACATCTTCTTTTCGACTTTGGTTATTAGATGGAAATTTTCATGTAGTGTGAGGAATTTTTGGCTCTTCACACTCTCTGTATTTCTTTAAAAATACCTGCTACTTTTTGATGACTGGCAGGGCATGTATGTATGTATATATTGACGTTGAAATCATGGCCTGAACCAAATGTTCTTGTAACGTTTAGGCCTTAAATTTTCGATAAAGAAGTATATTTCGATGATTTCAATTTACAAAATATCTACAAAATTTTACTCTTCCGGTTCTGCAAAATT